GATCCATACCCATAGAAGCTGATACATACCCATATAAGCTGATACATACCCATATAAGCTGATACATACCCATAGAAGCTGATACATACCCATAGAAGCTGATACATAACCCTAGAAGCTGATACATACCCATAGAAGCTGATACATAACCATAGAAGCTGATACATAACCATAGAAGCTGATACATAACCATAGAAGCTGATACATACCCATAGAAGCTGATACATAACCATAGAAGCTGATACATAACCATAGAAGCTGATACATAACCCTAGAAGCTGATACATAACCCTAGAAGCTGATACATAACCATAGAAGCTGATACATAACCATAGAAGCTGATACATAACCATAGAAGCGGATACATAACCATAGAAGCTGATACATAACCATAGAAGCTGATACATAACCATAGAAGCTGATACATAACCATAGAAGCTGATACATAACCATAGAAGCTGATACATAACCATAGAAGCTGATACATAACCATAGAAGCTGATACATAACCATAGAAGCTGATACATAACCATAGAAGCTGATACATAACCATAGAAGCAGATACATAACCATAGAAGCTGATACATAACCATAGAAGCTGATACATAACCATAGAAGCTGATACATAACCATAGAAGCTGATGCATAACCATATAAGCTGATACATAACCATAGAAGCTGATACATAACCATAGAAGCTGATACATAACCATAGAAGCTGATACATAACCATAGAAGCTGATACATAACCATAGAAGCTGATACATAACCATAGAAGCTGATACATAACCATAGAAGCTGATATATAACCATAGAAGCTGATACATAACCATAGAAGCTGATGCATAACCATAGAAGCTGATACATAACCATAGAAGCTGATACATAACCATAGAAGCTGATACATAACCATAGAAGCTGATACATAACCATAGAAGCTGATACATAACCATAGAAGCTGATGCATAACCATAGAAGCTATTATACACCCATATAAACTGGTAATTAAATATCTGGTCTAAGAAAGGAAACTATAATCAAGGTTTAATTTATGAATGTGCTTTATACATGTACATTTATGTACGTATCGAGTACAGTGTACAGGTGTATAAGGCACTGCTTAAGATGTTACAGGTGTAGACAGTGTAAACGGCACTGCTTGTGGGGTTACTGGTGTACACGGCACTGCCTATGGTGTTACAGGTATACACGGCACTGCGTATGGTAAAACAGGTATACACGGCACTGCTTATGGTGCTACAGGTGTACACGGAACTGTTTACGGTGTTACTGGTGTACACAGTGTACACGGAACTGCTTATGGTGTTACAGGTGTACACGGCACTGCGTATGGTAATACAGGTGTATACGGCACTGCTTATGGTGTTACAGGTGTACACGGAACTGTTTATGGTGTTACTGGTGTACACAGTGTACACGGAACTGCTTATGGTGTTACTGGTGTACACGGCACTGCTTATAGTGTTACAGGTGTACACGGTACTACTTATGGTGTTACAGGTGTACACGGTGTACACGGTACTGCTTATGGTGTTGCTGGTGTACATAGTGTACAGCACTGCTTAGGGTGTTACAGGTGTACACAGTGTACACGGCACTGCTTATGGTGTTACAGGTGTACACAATGTACACAGCACGGTCGGAAATTTCCGACACCCAAATACTATCCCTCAAGTGTGATAAGAGGTATTTATTGTACTAGGAATTATAATTTACTATCACTACTTACCAGTAGTATAGTTCCATCAATTTGTTTCTAATATCGGGGCCGGTATTGCGTCAGCCGCCCGGCTCCCTCGAGAACAAATTATAGATATACATAAATAGAATTAAACCCAGTCTAACCTTATTGTATTCATTAAGAAATATATCTCAGTAATTGATTTAATTCATTTTAGCAAATTATATTTCTGTTTATTAGAGAATGGTTTCTACAGCTACTATCAGCTGATCCAGTAAACAAAAGCTATGAACTAGAATTCACCTATGCATATAAGTATTTCATCTAACGTTATTTAGGACTAATAATATACACAGCGGCAAACCGCTGTTGTTATCTAAAGTACGTTCTTGTGAGGTAAAATTACGTCAACAAAGTCTCCTTTTAATAGCATATTAGAGTAAAATATTGAGTATTATTTACTAACTTTACAGGTTCCGGCGCTAGGTGGCACGCTGAGCACTGACTAGAGAGACTTGGCTGAGATAGGAGCCATATTGGATTTGTGTCCTGAGCTGGTCGTCATTATCGTCTATTTATAGGAATATCCGCGCATTATCGAACCTCAGAATGATCTGACAGCTTCATCTTATCGAGGACCCCGCCTTCAGCAGGCTAAGTATCCAGAGAATAATTTGTTGTGGCCATGACTTATTGTTAACTTGCCGTTATGCTGTAGGAACCCCAAAAACACCCGTGAGTGTATTTTCCATAAACAGTCAGCTCTAATCTGAAGAGTATGTATGTAAATACACGCTCTTAGGAAGAAATTATGAGATATTAATATTGCAGCATGGAGCTATCTACAAAGGAAGCGTACTCCGTCCTGAGGAATCACGTGTCGCACGAGACTGTCGGAAAATCCGACACCATTTAATATATCATACAGACAGATAATTGCTGCTGTATTGTATAAACAAGTTAACCCATAGAAAATGAAACTTGTAGTGGAATTACCGTCTATAGAAAACGGGATATCATCACCACATACTATTATAAATTCACCAGCTATTCTGCTGGGAATTATTCTAAAATACATTAGTCTTTGGACTTTACCATCAGAAAAACATCTCATATAAATTAACTTAATTATCAATATTAAAGTAAAGTAAATGTGACCCTTCTATCACTTACTGTCATCTGGACAATGTAAGCCAGGCGTCAGGGTGAGGGAGGGGCAGCCATTGTTTGGACTGAGACCAGAGGCTCACGGGAGCAAATACGGCTCCTGTTAATTTTACTTGGACGAAGTGTTATGGAAACCAAAGGTGTACCATCATCAACACGCTGTCAACAAATTCAGGTTAAGTGTTCTACTGAAACCCATTTATCTATCATTAGTGGCCATTAATGTCATTAGGTAGGGTGGACCCGTTAGATCACGAGATCGCCTCATACTAAAGGTAATTAAGCCTAGGTCTGTAAGGTTCCATGTACAGTGTTTTCTCTGATATAGCTTGTCATATACTAGGATTCTGACTTCACAGCTAGCGCCCTTTTGACAGGTCAAGACGAGGAAGCATGCTTTGTGCATCAGTTACCAGGGTGATGGAAGCTACCTCAAAGAGGGAAAATGTGGTGTCTACATCCTGGTTATACCTGGTGGACTAAGGCCTGCTGTACAAATAAGATAAGGAACCTCTTCAATGTTTAATAATGTGTAGTCTAATACTGTAGTTTGATTGGCTGCATATATATAAATTCAATAATATAAACCCCCCTAATGTGTAGAGGATCGATTTGTGAGATTATGAGATTATTGCAGAAATACAGTCCACTCATTATCATACATATTGCTATCGAAGTATATAAATTAATGTAAATATAAATTCTATATATATTCATATAAATTAAATAAATATAAATCTCACAGGTCGGTTCCCACAGAGACAACAGGCATTGACAGGATGAGACAGGTTACAGATCTGTCGGACGTATTCTCCGTTGGCATTTGACAGCTAAGTTTCTAAATATTGACAACTCAGTAGTTAGCATACTAACCCCATGATTTAATTCATTTCTAATTTATTGATGATAATATTTGAAATCTATGTTATACGTAGATTTAACATTATTGAATTTACCCCCCAAAAGATGTGTAGGGAGTCACTCAACTATATGTAGAAGGTTTTACAGTCCACTTCTCTAAGTTTATTTTGAACTAATTATTTAATTAATATTATATGAGATTCAGTAGGGAAGAAAATTTTCCCCCACAAGCACTGCATACGTTGTTAATGGTGTACAGTGTACACAACACTGTTTATGGTGTCACAGGTGTACACGGCATTGCTTATGATGTCACAGGTGTACACTACACTGCTTATAGTGCAACAGGTGTACATTGCACTGTTTATGGTGCCACAGGTGTACACTGCACTGTTTATGGTGCCACTGGTCTACACTACGGCGCTTATGGTGCACAGGTGTACACGACATTGCTAATAGTGCCACAGGTGTACACAACACTGCTTATGGTGCACAGGTGTACACGGTAATGCTTATGGTGTAACAGGTGTACACGGCACTGCTTATGGTACCACAGGTGTACACAACACTGCTTATGGGGTCACAAGTTTACATTACACTGATTATGATACCACACGTATCCGTGGAGCCTGGTAGCCTGGTGGATAGAGCGCAGGACTCGTAATTCTGTGGGGTCGGTTCGATTACCGCACCAGGCAGAAACAAATGGGCAAAGATTCTTTCACCCTGAATGCCCCTGTTACCTAGCAGTAAATAGGTACCTGGGAGTTAGTCAGCTGTCACGGGCTGCTTCCTGGTGTGTGTGTGTGTGTGTGTGGTGTGGAAAAAAATAGTAGTTAGTAAACAGTTGATTGACAGTTGAGAGGCGGGCCGAATGAGCAAAGCTCAACCCCGCAAACACAACTAGGTGAATACACGTGCACTCGACACTGATTATGGTGCAACAGGTATACACTACACTGCATATGGTGCCACAGGTGTGCATTACACTGCTTATGATGTCACAGATGAGCACGACACTGCTTATGGTGTCACAGGTGTACACGACACTGCTTATGGTGTCACAGGTGTACACGGAACTGCTTATGGTTCCATAGGTGTACACGACACGTCATATGGTGTCACAGGTGCACACGTCACTGCTTATGGTGTCACAGGTGTACACGGAACAGCTTATGGTGCCACAGGTGTTCATGACACTGCTTATTGTGCCACAGGTGTATACAGCACTGCTTCTGGGGCCGCAGGTGTACACTACACTGATTATATGATGTCTCAGGTGTACACAACAATGTCTGTGGTGCCACAGTTGAACACGGCACTGCTTTTGATGCCACAGGTGTACCGGACACTGATTATTGTGCAAAAGGTGTACACGACACTGTTTATGGTGCCAAAGGTGCACACTACACTCCGTATGGTGCCACAGGTGTACATGGCACTGCTTTTGGTGCCACAGGAGTACTCAACAATGCTTATGGTGACAGGTTCACACGGCACTGCTTATAGTGCCACAGATATGAATGACACTGCATATGGTGCCACAGGTGTGCACTACACTACATACTCACCTAATTGTGCTTGTGGGGGTTGAGCTCTGGCTCATTGCTCCCGCCTCTCAACCGTCAGTCAACAAGTGTACAGGTTCCTGAGCCTATTGGGCTCTATCATATTTACACTTGAAACTGTGTATGGAGTCAGCCTCCACCACATCACTTCCTAATGCATTCCATTTGTCAAGCACTCTGACACTAAAAAAGTTCTTTCTAATATCTCTGTGGCTCATTTGGGCACTCAGTTTCAACCTGTGTCCCGTAGTGTGTGTGCCCCTTGTGTTATATAGCCTGTCTTTATCTACCCTATCAATTCCCTTGACAATCTTGAATGTGGTGATCATGTACCCCCTAACTCGTCTGTCTTCCAGAGAAGTGAGATTTAATTCCCGTAGCCTCTCCTCGTAGCTCATACCTCTCAGCTCGGGTACTAGTCTGGTGGTAAACCTTTGAGCCTTTTCCAACTTGGCCTTATCCTTGACTAGATATGGACTCCATGCTGAGGCTGCATACTCCAGGATTGGCCTGACGTATGTGGTATACACAGTTTTGAATGATTCCTTACACAAGTTTCTGAATGCCGTTCTTATGTTGGTCAGCCTGGCATATGCCGCTGATGTTATCCTCTTGATATGGGCTGCAGGGAACAGGTCTGGCGTGATGTCAACCCCCAAATCTTTTTCTCTCCCTGACTCATGAAGAATTTCATCTCCCAGATGATACCTAGTATCTGGCCTCCTGCTCCCTACGCCTAAATTCATTACATTACATTTGGTTGGGTGAAACTCTAACAACCATTTGTTCGACCATTCCTTCAGCTTGTCAAGGTCTTCTTGAAGCCTCAAGCAGTCCTCCTCTGTCTTAATCCTTCTCATAATTTTGGCATCGTCAGCAAACATTGAGAGAAATGAATCTATACCCTCCGGGAGATCATTTACATATATCAGAAACAAGATAGGACCGAGTATAGAGCCCTGTGGTACTCCACTTCACGCCAATCCGAGGTCTCACCCCTCAACGTAACTCTCTGCTTCCTGTTGCTTAGGTACTCTCTCTTATCCACTGGACCACCTTACCAGCTACACCTGCCTGTCTCTCCAGCCTCTTATTTGGTACTGTGTCAAAGGCTTTCTGACAATCCAAGAAAATGCAGTCCGCCTTGTTACGGCCCTATTGGGTCGCAACCGGGTTCTTTTCAGATGTTATTAGAGTTTGGGTATCCGGCCCCAAGCTAGTAGTGGCTTTCAAGGGGTGCGTTCCATAACGCAAGTTAAAGTAAAGGGATACAAATGCACTGCTTTTGTATATATATTGCTACCACCACCATAAATATATCACAGTCACACGCGGGGTTGCTATAACTACACTTATTATATACAAATTAGTCTTCCTCTGAAGACACAGGATGCTCCACGGTGCTCAAGATGAGTAGTCCTGGTTCCCTTCTTCGTGGCCCACGATGAATCCTTTGATTCTCTCGGCAAATCTACCCCGGCCACAGGCCAGCCAAATAACAGTCCCACTGGGTGCACCGTCGTGGAGGCCTTCAACCACAAATCCAGCCTGTAGCTAGCAGGTTCCGATCAGCTCCGCTGTGTAGGCCACTCCACGACCGATACTAGGGTTGCGAGCCCTAGGCAGGAGCCTCGTGTGATCCCGCAGATCACTCTCCTCTTTCCGCACCACAGTGGCTAGTCTCTGCCACCAGCCAGCCCCCAGATAAAACGATTCCTGGTACTGCCACGTCACAGGCAGGCTAACACACTCAACAATGTTCGTCCAGGGGGTGACTCACAGCTTCTGCAGCAAACACGTGGAGAGCCACTTTTTTCTGCCTTGGGTAGACTGCCCCATCGTCCAATACAGCAGTCCCAGGTCGACTCTGTAATCAAACACGTCATTAGTACTGGAACTAGGGAACCTTACTTGCAGGCTTAGACACAAACGTCCACCTATCCACTCCATAGATGGCGTTGTTGTCTAAGCGCCACCTCACCAGAGGTCAGCAGCGGCTATGTTATGAGCTGAGCAAGACGGGAATCCAACACCTGGGGCCGGTATATCCCGCCCTCACTAGATGGCGCTGTCCTTTTGGAGGGGGTTTCGGGAGCAGACTGGCAGATGGCGATGTCGTCACTGCTCCGTGCTCGGACGCTGGACTCGGGCCCGTAACACGCCTAAACTTCTCTTTCTTGCTTGATTTTTGTCACCTGGTCGTAGAATTCTATTAAGCCAGTCAGGCAAGATTTACACTCCCTGAATCCATGTTGTCGATTTGTCACGAAGTCCTTCTCTCCAGATGTGTTACTAAGTTTTTTCTCACGATCTTCTCCATCAACCTGCATGGTATACAAGTCAAGGACACTGGTCTGTAGTTTAGTGCCTCTTTAGTGTCGCCCTTTTTGTATATTGGGACCACATTTGCTGTCTTCCCTATTTCTGGTAGGTCTCCCGTCTCCAGTGACCTACTATACACTATGGAGAGTGGCAAGCAAAGTGCCTCTTCATATTCTTTCAATACCCATGGTGCGATCGCGTCTGGACCAACAGCCTTTCTTACATCCAGATCCAGCAGAAGTCTCTTGACCTCCTCACTCGTAATTTCGATCCCTTCAAAGGCCGCCTGGTTTACTTCCCTTTCTCCTAGCACAGTGACCTCACCTTGTTCTATTGTGAAGATCTCCTGGAACCTCTTGTTGAGTTCTTCACCAGCAGAACACTAACCAAGGAGGCGATTTGAGAAGGGACAAAAGAAAGTGAGCCTCAGGGCAATGTACACTAACATAAATGGAATTACAAATAAAGCAAATGAGCTCGGAGAATGTGTACTACAGGAAACCCCCGACATAATAGCACTCACAGAAACAAAGCTAACGAAAACCTTAACCAATGCAGTGTTCCCACAGGAATATCATGTTATGAGGAAAGAGAGAGAAGGAAGAGGCGGTGGTGGTGTAGCTCTGCTGGTAAGAAAGGGCTGGGACTTTGAGGAGATGAATATTCAGGGCTTTGAGTGTTTCAGTGACTACATAGCAGGTACCATAAAAACTGGAGACCAAAAAATTATGGTCGTAGTCATATATAATCTACCACCAAATGACAGAAGACCCAGACAGGAATATGATAGAAACAATATGGCCACCATTAACATAATAGAGAGAGCAGCTTCTGTTGCCAGCAGGAAGGGATCTGGACTACTAATCATAGGAGACTTCAACCACAGGAAAATAAAATGGGAGAACAGGGATCCGCATGGAGGACCAGAAACATGGAGAGCTAAGCTGCTGGACGTGGCAACAAGATACTTTCTAAGCCTGGTCGACGGCTAAGCCAGCTTTCGGCGTGGTCGACGACCGGGCCGCGGGGACGCTAAGCCCCGGAAGCACCTCAAGGTGAGCCAGCACATCAAGGAACCAACAAGAATGAGAGGAGAAGATGAACCAGCCATGCTCGATCTGATATTTACCCTAAATGAGTGGGATATAAGGGAAGTTAAGATAGAAGCACCCGTGGGAATGAGTGACCACAGTGTATTAAACTTTGAGTACCTGGTAGAGCTAGGAATTATCTCCTCCAAAAAAGAACTAGGAAACAAAAGACTTGCTTACCGAAAGGGTAAATATGAAGAGATGAGACGTTTCTTGAGGGAAATACCTTGGGACACAGACCTCAGAGCTAAGTCTGTACAAGATATGATGGACTATGTCACCCAAAAGTGTCAGGAGGCAGTAAACAGGTTCATCCCATCCCTAAGGGAAAAATCCGAGAGGCAAATGAAGAATCCATGGTATAATAAGGCATTTATGGAGGCAAAGGGACTGAACAGAAAGGGAGTGGAGGATCTTCCGAATAACAGAACACCAGAAAGCAGAGAGAGATACCAGAGACCCAGGAATGAGTATGTTAGGGTGAGAAGAGAAGCAGAGAAAAATTATGAAAATGATATAGCAAACAAAGCCAAGACCGAACTAAAGCTACTCCATAGTCACATCAGGAGGATAACAACAGTGAAAGAACAGGTAATGAAAGGTAGAACAGGCTAGGACAGGTATACAGAGAATGACAGAGAGGTGTGTGAAGAACTCAACAAGAGGTTCCAAAAGGTCTTAACAATAAAATAAGGTGAGGTCACTGTGCTAAGAGAAAGGGAAGTAAACCAGGCGGCCTTGGAAGTGTTCGAAATTACAAGTGAGGAGGTCAAGAGACACCTGCTGTCGTAAGGGGCCACAGGTGTACACGGCACTGCTTATATGGTGTAACAGGTATACACGGTACTGCTTATGGTGCCACAGGTGTACACGACACTGCTTATGGTGCCACAGGTATACACGACTCTGCTTAGGGTGCCACAGGTGTACACGACACTGCTTTTGGTGCCACAGATATACTTGCCACTGATAATGGTGCCACATGTGTACTCGTCACTGCTCTTGGTGCCACAGGTGTACTCGTCACTGCTCTTGGTGCCACAGGTGTACATGACACTGATTATGGTGTCATTGGTGTTCACTTCACTGCCTATGGTGCCGCAGGTGCAGACGAAACTGCTTATTGTGCCACAGATGTACATCAGGACACTGATTATGTTGCCACAGGTGTTCACGACACTGCTCATAGTGCCACAGGTGTACACGACACTGCTTATGGGACCACAGGTGTACACTACACTGCTTATGGTGCCACAGGTGTTCACGACACTGCTCATAGTGCCACAGGTGTACACTACACTGCTTATGGTGCCACAGGTGTTCACGACACTGCTCATAGTGCCACAGGTGTACACTACACTGCTTATGGTGCCACAGGTGTTCACGACACTGCTCATAGTGCCACAGGTGTTCACGACACTGCTTATGGTGCCACAGGTGTTCACGACACTGCTTATAATGCCACAGGTGTACACGACACTGCTTATGGTGCCACAGGTGTACACGACACTGATTATGGTGCCACAGGTGTTCACGACACTGCTTATAATGCCACAGGTGTACACGACACTGCTTATGGTGCCACAGGTGTACACGACACTGATTATGGTGCCACAGGTGTTCACGACACTGATTATGGTACCACAGGTGTACACGACACTGATTATGGTGCCACATGTGTACACGACACTGCTTATAGTGCCACAGGTGTTCACGACACTGCTTATGGTGCCACAGGTGTTCACGACACTGCTTATGGTGCCACAGGTGTACACGACACTGATTATGGTGCCACAGGTGTACACGGCACTGCGTATGGTGTCAAAGGTGTATACGGCACTGCGTATGGTGCCACATGTTTATACGACATTGCTTATGGTGTCACAGGGGTGGATGGCTGGGGATTTAGAAATTATTAAAATTTTTCTCTTATGTTACTTACTCATAATAACCTACTCATAGCAAACTACAGTAAAGCAGGAGGAAAATAAATTAGAAGAACTCACTAAACACTCACTCATGGGTATACTTTAGACTTGACACAACATGAAACATGTGACTATATATGAACTGTCATTGCATCTCACATCAATGTCATGCTCACAACCTCAAAATTACCCGCAACACTTGACATGACGCTCATGGTGAAAAAAGTTTCATTACGAGGTAGTCATCTTATAAATCTCACATTTATAAAGCTCTGACCTAATTACTCGGTGAATTAATAATAACTTCACTAATTACGACTACAATTCCTTCGAATGTCAAAATTAGAATCACCGGTGCAAATATTTTAGAACTACTATTCTTGACATAATATTTTACGGATAATGTTATTCCAGCAGCTCAAACAACTACCGTATTTGCTGGCGGAAAGGACTCGCGTTTTTTTTTTTAAACTAAATATATTTAATTTCTTGCAGCGATTAATTCCCGGAGATGTGAACCAGCGCCCGGGGTGCGAGGCGCTTCCCCAGTGTGATAAACATACTAAAATTAGTTTTTTCTAGAAAACATCGACCTGTGCATTGTCACACCGACAGAAACGCTACCTGTTATTTTCTTTTCCAAACATAATCTCCTCGACAAAATTTAACTTTTCTGGCTGTCGTTACATTACTATGAATGCAGAATGTTATTCAGAATCTCGACCGGGTGATTCTCGCGGCCCATCATCCCGTTAAGGTAATACTTATAGTAACGATGAGGTCCGTCGTACATATATTGATGTAAAAGACAATTAGGAAGTTGAAATTGGTACTATTATATTTGAAGAAACCTGAAAACGTTTTGTAGTGATGTTGAAAAGAAAACTTAACCTAACCTAACTTTCCTAATGCTAATAGACGCTATCTGAGGCCTAATATAGTACATATATGTGCTATACTAGGTCTAGGAATATTTAAGTTTGTTTTTTTAGCTGTATTTTTTTAGATTTTACAAAGAGAATAGTACCATTTTCAACTATCTAATTGTCCATTACATCTATGTATGTACGATGGTCCACAAAGTTACAGAGTACAATCTAAACAGAACGATGCGTTGTAACGTCCACATTAAGTGTGACCAGTAATGCAACTTCCTAATATGACCACATATGATAGTTTGCCTAGATGAAGCACTTCACCCAATCCCTCATACGGTTAATATTTACATACCAAACTCTTCCTCATCTCCAAGGTTCAAATATTCGTCATCTCAGTTACTAACGTTTCATATAACATTATTATGGGGAAAAGACAAATTCCCTTACGATGGCAATAGAGCTTACATCACTGGACATTGAACTTAGATGTAACTGGGTACTTTCACCTCAAAGATATATAAACCTGGTTTTGTATTTACCCTGTTAACAGTGATTCACAAAACGCTCTGATGAAATTTTAGTAATTAAGGAATGATCTCAATTTTGTTCAAAAAGTGAAGGCTTTAACATTCAAATTGAATCTTTTCAGAAGTCAGCTGTTGAACGTTTGACATTACCGATTGTGCACAGCGTGTTCCTCAACACACACACACCAAGCTTGGAGAAAAATATGAGTTGAAAATTTAGGACCTGGTTGAAGAATTTGAAATAAGAATTACCTCGTCCTAAGAAGGGGACATTCAATAGAACATGATTGAAGATTCCCTTTCAGTGGATCCAACTTTTTTGCAATTCCCAGTGCAGTTAAATGTTGTTGATCTTCTGTGTTCAACACATTACAGAATTATGCACCGATAATGCAGTCAGCAGGAATTGTAAAAAAATCTGAACAATGAAAAACCCTAAAGATCTTGTTGAAGCTGCAATGAGAACGTTCTCGTCCGGCTATTGACCATTTGGAAGATATTGTGAAGACAGCTCCTACAAATACCACACCGGAACCATCCCCTGTTGCTAAATACAGGTGTCAAACATTTCATTATGTTTTGAATGGGATTAGAAAATTTGATAATTACAATTTTAAAGTGTTTAAATGTAATTTTGTTTCAGGTTAACATAATAAAGAAATGGGTATTTTCCTGTATAATTATTTTTAATTAGAATTTAATGGGAAAATATAAATTACAAATATTATTCGAAAATCATTAGAACATTCTGGGTCTCACCAGCCGTGTGCCTAACGCACTAGGCAATGCTATGCTAAAAGTATCTAACCTGGAATTCAACTGAATCTAAGAGAGATCTTGAGGCATAGAGTTCATACCAAACCAACTTTTTTCATATACTGTGGTGTGAGTAATGGAGGTCTCTCCTCTACTTCCGCCCAACCACTTGGGCTGGACGGTAAAGCGACGGTTTTGCTTCATGCAGGTCGGCGTTCAATCCCCGACTGTCCAAGTAATTGGGCACCATCCCTTTCCCTCCTTCCCATCCTAAATCCTTATCCTGGTCATGTAAATGTGCTATACAGTCATAATTATCAGGGAAAATCGCCAAGCCATTATCTACTTCCTTCAAATACACTAGAAAATTACAGTGACCGGAGTTCATTATGTGGAAGAGCATTGGAGCAATACCGTAGTCCGTAGTCTACCGTAGACCCATAATACTCCGGTAAGTATTATGGGTCTCTCCAGACCTGCGCCTTAACCCACTGTGTATTTAAAGGTAGGATATGGGAGAACTCTATACCCATTCCAGAGTATCTGCTCGATGCCTCAACACCCCTAATGGATTCAGTAGAACCCCAGGTTAACTTGCTTTTAGCACATCGTGTTCCAGTGGGTACATGTATCTGGGGAATCCCAGAATTTTCCGGGATTCTGGGAATACTTGGAGTACTCCAAAGATCACGTAATGATATCACGCCTCTGTGATTTCCTATTGTGTATTAATATTATTAGTATTATAAATAATAAGTTATAAATAATATAAATAAATAAATAATATTTAATAATAATAATAATTATAATTATTATTATTATTATTATTATTATTATTATTATTATTATTATTGAGAAAATCAGAAGGAGCCCTTGGGAAGATTCGAACCTGCACACTTGGTACTCTCAACCACACGCCTTAGACCACTGGAACACGATATTCTACCAAAGAAATATAACCTGGGATTCCACTAAATCTTCTAGGGTTCCTGAGGCATCCAACTGATATCAAATCAGGGTTACACACATTACCAGCACACTCTCTGGTTGTGGGGGTCAAACTCCTATACCGCCACCAGATGGATGCATCAAGTGGAGGTGCAAGTGGAACTTATCATTGATACATTATGTTAAAGTGATTTATTTGTGCATTATTATTATTATTATTATTATTATTATTATTATTGCACAATGATATCACATTAACATGACGCATCAAAAGGAAAATCAGTAGGAATCGTGGGAAGGATTCGAACTCACTACCTAGTGCCCTAGCACACCATGCCACGACATGGTCAAAAGCAATACAACCTGGAATTCCACTGAACATATTATATATATATATAATATATATATATATATATATATATATAGAATAGAAACCACAATACCTCCAATAAAATTATATTACAAATCAACCATGGATAGTGAACATATAAAAGAGGAAAGAATAATGAAAGAAATAACCCGTAAAGGAGTAAAAAGCACTACTCCTAACCAAAACATAAACCTGATAATATTCTACAAAACCAAGAAGACTTTCAAACTCCTTATCAAAAACAGGCCGAAGCCGACGGAGAACCCTCTACAGCAGTCAAGCGTTGTATACATGTACACTTGCCCCCACGAAGGATGTAACCTTCAATCTAAGGACATAGGTATGACGTCGACCAAGCTGACGAGGCGTTTGACATGTCATCTTCAATCCGGTGCCCCCAAGAATCACATGAGACAAGCCCATGACATCACCCTAACAAGAGAAATGTTGAACAAAAAAACCTGTATAATAGACAAAACCCAAGATGCAAGAAGATTACAAATTCTTGAAGCAATTCACATAAGAATAGAACAACCTACCATGAACACCCAAATCACGGAACTATTTACTCTACCCACCAACCCAGTTAACAATTTTAGGTTGCCACAACGTATCTGGAAAGTGTTGGAAAGTAGGGGCAACGTTTGTTTTCACGCATTAGATGCGTAATTTTGTGTGGATGTAAATAAGTTTCTGAAACGTATTGCACGAAACGTTGGCTAAAAAAAATTAAACCTTGTGGCAACCTTAAATGTTTCATAATCGTGTTTTTTTCATTGTTGTTATTTATATAAATGTAGAAATATAAAAGTATATTTCAACATTTAGTAAAAAGAAACACGGACATAATAAAGGTTAATTCATCATTTTTATTCATTTTTTTAGGAAGAGGTCGAGGAGGAGGAAGAATTCCAGGTAAGAGGATGAAGTTGAGTAGGAAGGAGGAGGAGATCGAGGAGGAAGGAGGAGGAGGAGGTCATGGCAGAGGAGGAAGGAGGATGAGGTAGAGGAGGAAGTTAAAGAGGACGTTGAGGATGAGGAGAGCGAGGAGGAAGGAGGAGGAAGGAGGAGTAGGGCGAGGAGGAAGGAGGGCGAGGAGGAAGGAGGGCGAGGAGGAAGGAGGAGGAGGGCGAGGAGGAAGGAGGAGGAGAGCAAGGAGAAAGGAGGAGAGCAAGGAGGAAGGAGAAGGAGGAGGGCGAAGAGGGAGGAAGATGAGGAAGGAGGAGTAGGGCGAGGAGGAAGAAAGTGGAGGAAGAAGAAGGGCAATAAGAATAAGGATGTTTTTACCTTTATTGTATTATCACCTGACCCAGTGCGGGTATAAAATCAACCAGCATTGTAAGATCTATTCACTTGAGAATGAACCATGGAGGTTCGAAACGTTGTGCAAATTGTATAAATAAGTGTAATACACTCTATAGTAAATTACTTCTTTTCTTCACCTTAAAAGTACGAAAATGAGTTTTGGAGAACTCCTATTTCAACTAAGCCCTGATGCTAAGAAAATAGTTA